GATTATGTATAGTCGTTACTTAAATTTCATTTAGATCGACCTAGGTATTTATTTTCGATTTTTTTTTGTTTTTTTTTATACTCTTAAAACGGTTTAGTACTAAGAACGGAGATTTACGAAAATTATAAGTGATATTGATTACAACTGAAAGAAAAGGGATCACCGTTCGGGCAGGGGCTGCCGATTTTATCGGATAATAGTCTTTCACAGTCTCATAAAATGTATCGCGTGTAAGTTGCTATTATCTCTATTTCCAGTCTTTAATATCGTTTCGAAGCAATTTCTTTTTATATGTTTAACATGTTGGCTAGCGTCACTTCTTCGGCGTCACATGCTTGTGACATTAAGTGCATTATAAATTGCGTCCGTGATGTAAATGGATCCATTATTTTAGGCAATTACAGCTAACATAACTGGATAATTTGAAATAATGTAGAAAATGCGTCTAGGAAATGTTCCGTTTTATTATTTCTCTTAGAACTTCCCATTTGTACTACTGTGAATCTTCCAAGTCCTTTTCTTATTCGAGACTTACATATTTTTGTTTGTATTTAGTACGATTTTTAACTTACTTTCTCAAATTCTCATTTTTGGTTCATTTATTTATTACTTTCGGAGTTGATATCCTAAATACAATTAATTTTTCGATCCTTCGGAAACAGTATTTTTTTTACGGATAAAAGGTATCATATGTCCTTTTGGGTACCCACGACAATGTGTGTACAGAAGGAGTAGAGGTGAGTGTCCAACTAGTTTTAGGACTGGCGACATCATGATGATGAATAGTCTTAATGAAAGCTTTACATCCAAGGCGAAACATCGGTGATAAGTTTGCAATAAAAAGAAAGCCTTTTACCTTTCTAGCTTTGATTCTGCACCTCATTAGAAGAAAAAATCGAGAACAAACAGAAATTAAAAACAATTGATAAAGATTCAAAGAATACTTTTCAATATTTGGCAACAAAAGTGCGAAAAATAACAAAATACGACCGTGACATTAGTAGTACCGGAACGTGTAGTTTTTGGCATGCGTAGGGGGACTTCCCCGTTTTATTACGCGAAAGTGCCAAAGTGCGTGTCCATTGACGGCTCCAGTTGGCACGGAAGAAGAACGTTCACGCCAACTGGGGTGCCCTCCAATGTTTACAATACCGTCCGTGTAAAACCAGTGCCAGCCAGCGAGGTTTCGCACACCCAACTCACTCACTCATTCGCTTATTAGCCCCACAAATCGTTTTTGGATTCTACCTCAATCTCACACCTTTTCATTTCAATCCCGACACAGTCTCAATCAGGGACGACTTTTAAAGTGTTCTTAAAAAGCGGCTTTAGAGGTGCATAAAAACGTTCTGCANCAAATTGTTTTTAAATTTTGTAAAACAAAAAAAGCTAACCACAAAATCAAATACGTTCAAGTATTGTAGGCTAATATAGAAGCCACATTTTGTAATATGTTTATAGATATATGTTTAAAGGTAGGTAATGATGTCCCCTGGGTAGTGCGATACTTAAGCCGTCTAATTATAGTTTAGCTAAATCTATTCCTGTCTCTGCAAACTACCGCGTCACCATAGGTCAAGAAAAACACAAGAAGTGTCTCCTGATGACAGTGCTTGTAGATAAATAAGTTTATTACGATTGCAAAACGCTGTCCGCTGTTACCAGGCTGAACTTATTTTGAAAGGCTTTGAAGAATACTAAAAAGTATACGTTTCTGGATAGCTGCGAAGCTGAAACGAATGGCATTAACTATTATTGAGATTTCAAACTAATTTCCAACAATACGCAAAACATTATTTTCAATATCATATTAAAAAAATCCCTGAACTGAAGCAAAAACATCAGGAAATTTTCGCTAATACTATTTGTCCCCTAGAATTTCGAATGTTATAAAAATAAAGGTAATATTACCTAATAGTAAAGATTAAATGTTTAAAAATTAAGTTCTTTTTACATTTCTTCTGTTTGTTCATATTTTGTTAATTATAGATATTATTCACGAAATATACATTTACTCTGATAAAGGTATACAGTGTGCTAAGTAAAATAAGAATAAACTGATCAAAAAAGCATAGTAAACATCAAGTCGTGAATCCTGGAGTTATTCTAATTCCCATGGGAAAAATCAAAGTAGTTCAGTTATGAAAAAGATTCGTAAGTAAGGTATAAAAAAAACAGCCTGACAAATTTGTAAAGGCTTTCGCAGCCAGTAGCCGCAGCATCGACGCCCTCTAGACCCGAATCGGAACAACATCAAATAAGGCTAAGGAATACCCTTTTCCAGAATTTTTCATCATTATTTGCAAAAAAGTTTCCAGATTTATGTTGCCTAAAAGAGCTTATCTAAAGACTACTGATAAAATTTAACAAGAAAAAGGTTCAAATTTTTATAGATATCAAAACATTAGTATTCAAAATCGTGAAGTTTTTCTTACAAATGAATACTAAACGAGGAGCTTTTCTTAAAGGCTCGTATAAAACAACTGGTGTGGAGACAATAGCACGGGACAGCATTGTTTTGGCACTGTCAACAAATAAATTACAACGGATTTAGTGGATTGTCCACTTTTTAACAGTCACTTAGAAAAGCTCTAGGAACTGCAGCTAAAACCCCAATCTCTGCTTGATTTAGTGAGCAAAGCATACGGTTTTTCCCATTTTCAACTGAATATCCGATCCTTTATAAACACTGAGCGTCATTTATACAAAAAACGAAACAGATTTTTTATAAATCTACATTTTCATTTGAGAAATTAAAATATCCAATTGCCCAATTCCCAACGTATACATACTTAGAGGCTTATTATTCTATGGAGTAAAAAAACGTGGGGGTTGAAGGAGTAAATACAGGTACAAATATATAAAATGGGTGTTACGATTGGGAAGATAGACAACAGAGTAGTAATTAATGAACAAATTAGAGAAATTAAAAGAAGGTGATATATATATAAGAAGAGTTTGAAGGAGTATGTTAGAAATAGAAACTAAAAGTAAGTGTCAAGGATGGGAATATGTGTAGGTGTATGAGTAAAATGACATGAGGTAAGGATCTGAGAAATATAGTCTCAAGATACGTAGAGTGCATAAAGGTCTGGATCTGAGGGGGGGTTGGCAGGGGGATTGTGTGTTAGGGTATTTGAAGGGAATAAAAAAGATAACTATAATAGCAAGGTTTAGAATGGAAAATTAATGTAGAGAACGTAAATTTTGGATGAAGCAGGATGAAATATTGTGTAGATTATGTGAAATAGGAGAGGAAATCTTGCTGCATATATTGGAAAAATGTGATGAAAGAAGGGATTTAGATGAGTGTTGTTGAATTTGTTTATTTTAGTCAATTGTACAATTCTGATTTGTAGTTGTGGGGGTAAAATACAATAGGCTGTCGATCCCTTTTGGTTAGGTACTACGTAAACTGGATAGTTGCCATTTATTATAGCATTTTCAGAGATTGCAATGCCTAGATTTTTGTTAGATTAGGTTAATCCAGTTTACGGTAAAATGTAGTTAGTACAACTATTGCAACTAATATGTCATTAACGAGTGGGATTGGACGATACCAAGCCGGTATCGACACTTTTACATAGGTATAGATATAATTATATCGGAAGAAAGTAATGTCAATTGCTAGTAGGTATCAAATGCCAAGAATAAAAAATAAAACTTTTCAGTGTTTGCAGTTAAATGCTTATAGTTGAGCAGTACCTTCAAAGTACACTAGAAGGAAAGGCAATAGGCCCTCTTAAGCCTCCTTTCAGAAATCATGGGGGTGAGGATGATGAGATAAACAAAAATTAAGACAGAAGAAAATGAATGATAAGTTGAATTGACGAAATTAATATACAGTTGCAATCCGAAGGGCCCTGAGTGTGAACTGGCAACGTATAGAGAAATTGTGATAACAACTTAGAAACTACATCCATGAAAAATATAAACAGTGGCGATTGTGGAACGACTAATAAAGTAAATAACATCTTACTACTACACTACCACACAATATTCTTTAGACACCCATTGCGATGACAATAAATTAAACAACTACTTCGTTCATCGTTAATAATAAGGAGTAATATTTGAAGTACACCTAGAGATGGTATTAAAAATACAAAAGATGAGAAATTAACGTTATGTAAAATTTAATAGGTAAATTAATATCTTCTGGATAGGTAATAGTAGTAATTTTATTGAGGTGTATTGTCCAGGTGCGGTACATTTTTGATGGGTGATTTGCTCTGTCCTTCCATTACAAAAATTATTTCTGTGTCGCGCAAAAACATTCGGCATTTAGCGTACTTCATTTGCACCGATCATACACGGTCGTTTGATACACGCGCTGTTTCATACAACCTCATACATTTAGATCAGGACTACACGCCGGCGAAGGTGCAGGATCGGTTCGAATAGAAACTCACGCATTGGTCAATACAATAATAACACTGACCTATGGCAGTGACACATTGACCTACTTCTACTTTAAGCTGACTGTAAACATAAACATCGTCAATCACAAATAATCTAATCTGACAAATAACAAACATGATTACAAAAATACAAAAGGAATACAACACGGATGCTGCTAAGTAGCAGCTGATTGAATTTGTTTGTATAATCCTACCAGGGCTGGCTGGCTGTTGCCTGTATTTTCAAATAGTTTTTTCTAGAAACGGTGGACTTTCGGACCAAACATTTACTTAATTTTTTTGTTTTATGATGCCCTACCAACTCTTGTAAACTTGGTACTTATTTCGGAAACACTCCCTACGTATTAGTGTCGCCTGAAGGAGCAACAATAAAAGTTGTAAAGCGTTTCGAAAAACAACGTATTATTAACTATCCTTTCGGTCGTCCATACCTTCCAAACAAATTAACAGACATAAAAGAGAAATCTACTGATTCTCTTTGTTGCAATATATTTTGTCCCACGATAATTAACATGTGGTGCCTACATCTGCCTATTTGCAAAATTCTCACACATATGAATATGTTTACTATTGTTTCAGATGGAGTTAAAGCTTGTCCTCGACGGTGGTCAAAAGCATCATTGTCATCAAGATCTTGTGACCTGAAGATCTTCGTGACCAATATGAGTACGCGTACGTTTGCCCATTGCCGATCGAAAATGTAGAAGAAACTCTAGAATCCTGACCCCGTGTCAACCAGGATTCTACAGTACCTTCCACAAGAAAAAAAAACGCATCACGTTTTGTCCCCAATATGCCTGCATCTTCAGAAGGTCTATTGGTAACAAAATGTATAATAACCTACATAAACGACGCCTACATCTGTCATGATCCGAAGTTCTCCTTCAAGTATTTATTTATTTGTTTCTTAAAACATAAATACGTAACAGTTAGCCACATACATATATGTATTTACAAATAGTTTCTAAAGCAATAACTTGATACTTAATTAAAGAAAAATTGATAAACTCTCTGATTTTTGTAGATTTAGGTGATGTGTTTATATCACGATACATTGTAATGATGTAACAGAATAAATAGGAAAGTTAGTACCTATATAATATAAAATAATATTAATAATAACAAACTTCGCAGAAATATTTTCATTACAGAAGTCGACGAGAGTATTAATGTTAATCCATATGTTATTTGATATTGATATACCTAATTAGTAATATACACATTATGCGAGTTAATGGCGTACCTCTGATATACTCAACTTAAGTACGTACTAAAAATAAAACAATTTTGAAAAAAGATATAGTCGTTGTTTTCTTCCAACCATACCAATAATATAATAATTTGGTCATTTAATATTACCTACATCAGGAAAGATATCCAGGAAATCCATACCCCATAAGTAAACTAGAACTACAATGTGATAAATGTTGAAAGTAATAATTTGTCTATTACTTAAGAACGTACTAGTTAAACCCGTCCAAGTTTGGCTTTTGCTCATATAGTACTCTAAATGACAAAATTTTATTATTAGAATGTACCTATCAGAACGAATACTGAATATAGGCATTAGAACCTTCCCATGCTCTCCCCCATATACGTCAAATTGGTAAACCTAAAAATTAATAATTTACAACAATTTTTAATAAATTAAGTTCCGACGTCAGCGAAATCATTTTCTACGTTAAGCATGCTATAAGAGAGGCTGACTAATCTTCAAAATTCTGAATATCGAATGAACCCTTCCATTTTTTAATTAGACATTCTAATAAATAATCAGTTAGTTGGTAGAACACCAATCTATCATGCTTTTTTCTTATTGACTTCCATGGAGTCCTTTAACCTTTTCTTTCCTTCCGCACCCTTCTTATTCTAAACCGTAGAGCGCCGCACTCCAGACGTGCACCTTTAATAATCTTTTTCGAATTTCTAAATTAACCGTTAGCGAACACAGAAATGACTTCTTTTTGATAATGGCAACTCTACCCTATGCTATCCTCTGTTTTATATCTCCACTGCTCCTTCCATCCTGAATTATCTGACTTCCTGACATTAAAACCGTGTTTCATTTATTACATCAGCCTTGAATTAAAAGAAAAAAGGAAATTGGTAGTCATTGACTGTTAGTGACAGCTCTGCAGTTGATTATCCGTACTCAACTTTAAAACCATGAGTAAAACCTTTTCTGCCGATTTACGCACTGTTCTTGCTAATTTACTTGCCATATTTTTTCTACAAGTAATGTTATTAAAAAATGGAGTAGTTTTTCCTTTTGTCCCTGAGAATCGACGTTTCACTTCTACACATCGTTACCATGTAATGACTGAACCAAATAATACAATTCTGGTTTCGGACTATACTATATTTTAAATTTGGCGATTTATGTCATAACCCAAATTTCTAATAGGTATTCAAATGTCAAGCTTTTATCAAGAGTTATTCATCTTCCTCACCTTATCTAACCTTCTCTATCCACAGTATCCTCATCATTCGCCTGTAACACCACATTTCGAACACCTCTAACCTTTTTTTTTTCCGCCGCGCCCACTGTCCATGTTTCGCACCGGTATAGCGCCATGCTCCAAACATACACCTTTAACAACCTTTTTCTGCTTTATATCCCTACTAGTCCTTCCATCCTGACTTATCTGAATTCCTAGATAGGTAAAATCAGTCACTTCTTATAATTTTTCGTCTCCTATCTTTATATTCGCTCTTTCCCTACTTTTTCTTCCCTTACATACTAGTATTTTAGTTTTAGTTTTATTTATTTTCATACAGTACTGATCTGTTTGTACCGCTTCCATTTTATTTAAAGCTATCTCTAACTCCTCCTTGCTAGATGTAATACTACTATATCATCTGCAAATCTAAGCATACTAATCTTTTGCCCCCTGTAAATCTATCCCTACAGTTGCACTGTCTTTAATGATGTTGATCTCGTCTTCGATGTATAAATTAAAAAGTAGCGGTGCCAGTGTACATCCCTGTCTGACTCCCTTCCTAATTTTTACTTCTCTACGTTACAGCCCTAGCTCTATAACTGCCTGTTGTTCTTTATACAAACAAGTATCACTCTTCTACCTTTGTAACTCATCCCTACATTTATAAGTATATTTAACATCTTGTCCCATTTAACATTGTCAAAAGCTCTTTCTAAATCTTCAAATCCTATATACGCCCTCTTTCTTTTTTCTATCGTTTTCTCTATTGTTACCCGTAAAGCTAAAATGGCCTCCCTCGTTCCTTTATTTCTTCTAAATCCAAATTATTCTTCCCCTAATAGTTCTTCCGCCCTTTTTTCCATCCTACTCTGTACAATTCTGGTTAAGATTTTAAGTATGACTTAACCCATTTAAAATAAGTTTCTGACCTTTTACCTAAACCAGTATCTTTTGTATTAAACTGAATAGTAAAAAAAATATTTTTAAAATATTGGCCCACAATAAGAAACTAAAATATGTGCCTGTAAGTTACTACAAGTCTCTCTCAGATTCCCGTTCAGGTTCCATTATCATCTGGTAAAAAAAACCTTGGTTACGGCAAAGGTAATGAAGTGAACTCGTGCCTGATTAAGTGTTAAGTAACGCTCACGAGGATGCCTTAACATGTGTGCCCTGAGACCGATGCAAAAAGTGTTAATGGTCCCAGAATGTAATGTATATATACATGCACATATAATATGTGTGTGCATGTAAGTGATGGCTGAAGAAGGAGAACTCTGTCCCACGCTATCTTATTCACAGCCACTGGCCTTACTGACGCATTAAGAATATTTATGAGAGAGACGATTATCAAGAAGAGGCGGAGTGTCTGCATCGATTTTTCCTGCATTTTCCTCCGTCCTGGTAATTAACTAAAACCTCTGCTCCTCTATGACTAATGCCGATTTGATTTCCCGACCTTCGAAAGATTTTCTCCGTCGGGTATCATTGGAAAACGGACTCGTTCGCCGAACCCTCAAAAAGTCAATGAAAATTATAAAACTGGAAATCGCATGTGATTAATATTCGACCAATGCATTTTATCTAATATCAAATAAAAAAATTAAGTCACCGTAGAAAATACTACAAATGTCGCGGTAAACGCCATCTGTAGTACGATGCTACATTTTAGGATTACGTATGCTCCAACAAAGTCCATTTAAATATATGGATATCTACTTGCTGAAAAGATGAAACTTCTGTGTTCTGTCGGAGCTGCCTGCGACGCGCTGATGAGATCCAAAAAGATCGAAATCGCGATCCGCGTCTGGCAGTTTCGACAGAATACCTACAGACCACTTCGAATTATTTTGAGGTTATTACGTTGAGGTTAGCTACGCCGAGATTCGTTTCAGCAAGTAGATATCCATATATTTAGATGGACCTTGTTGAAGCATACGTAATCCTAAAATGTAGCATCGCACTACAGATGTCGTTTACCGCGCCATTTGTGATAATTTCTAAAACGCGCTGTTAAGACAGCAGGTAAAAGTTGGTCTGTGTTCTGTCGTAGCTGTCTGCGACGCGCTGATGAGATCCAAAAAGATCGAAATCGCGATCCGCGTCTGGCAGTTTCGACAGAATACAGACCACTTCGAATTATTTTATAAGTCACCGTAGGTTACGTTAGGATCGGATTAGGTTAAGTTTGTTTGGGTTAGATCTAATTTTAAAATTTTCGAAACTCCAAACCTGTCATTCAAAAAATACGACATGGTGTAAGATAATTCGTACAAATTACTTGCAATTATTTTTTCATATAAATAATAATATAATATAAGTTCAATGGGTACTACACCGAAGCGACGCGCTTGTCAATCATATTAGAAATCAAATGCGGGGTTATTAAAGAGGAACGAAACTGAAGACAAATTCCTGAAAGAGGGCAGCAAATCTTTCAGTTTTTAGGGTGGCAGAGATCACGAGGAGAAGTATGGCACTCTGATGCACAATACTGCGATGTGGAAAGCATCGGGAAACCACCACATTATGATATCCCAAGTAATACACATGGAACCCGAATGATGGCGTCCTCTGGGGTAAAGTACACCTGATGTAAACAAGTCCCCCATTCTGATGCCCGGGCGGGAATTACCTTGGGGAATCTCATCAATAAGTGCAATAGGGGAAGGTGCAATGTTTCACGTGTCGGAGGACAATGAGGCAAGTAGGCAAATTAGAAAATTTGAATGTTGAGATGAATAAACTGGAATTAGATATAGTAAGCAATGGTGAAGTCCGTTGGTCAGAAGTTGGACACTTCTGGAGTGACGGCTTTAGAATAATAAATACAGAATTAGTGGAAGATAATTGGGGGGTTGGAATTGTAAGGCGTAGGAAAGCAGAACAGATTATAGAAAGTTATTTACAAAAAAAACATAGGATAGTTATGGCTACATTAGACTCGAAACAAGTGAAAATGGTAATAGTGCAGGTCTACATGTCTACATCATCTTACAGTAATGGAGACCTAAAAGCGGTTTATGCAGATATAGAAGACGTGTTAAGTTTAGTGAAAAGAGAGGAAAACCTAATATTTGTAGGAGGCTTCAACGCAGTAGTAGATGAAGGTAAAGACGGTGCAATAGCAGGTTCTTTTGATTAGGCAATAGAAATGATAGGGGAGATAGACTGATAGAATTTTGCGATAAACATAACTTAATCGTCGCGAATACTTTATTCAACTATCACGTTAGGAGGAGCTATACGTGGAAGATGCCAGGTGATTTAGGGAGATATCAGATATATTACATACTAAGATTTAAAAATCAAATGAAGAA